TCTGGCTGCCCCCCTCCCCACATCACCCAGGGCCTGTCAGCAGCGGTGCCCTACCCAGGATCCCAGGCTGGCCTCCTGCGAGCCCCCGGTGAATGGCGACTTGGTGAACAAAAGCAATCTGGCGGCAGGAGGCAGCGTCGACCTATACTCACGCCGACCCCGTACCCCAAACCACGGCCAGACAGCCCCATGCCTGACCCCCAGAACCCCATGCTGCAGGATGGGGTTCGGCAAAACTGGGCCAACCACCCAGGCCCAGCCTGGAGGCTGCCGGGCCTGAGCTCAGAAGACAAGGAAGAGGCCGGGGGGGCAGCGGTGTGTCGCCCTTAGCTTGAGGGCAGTTCCGAGGAATGCCCCAGCGTGGCCCCCGGCGGCAGGCCAGGCCTCCCACCCAGCCAGGCGTGACTCGGAAGGAGCTACGGTGGGTGGTTGCGGCCCCAGGGAGGCGGCGGCCGGCCGATGAGTGATCAGGCCTGGGCCGGGGGAGGTGGGGGGGGGGGAGGGGGGGGAAGGGGAGACTATGCTGGCTGTGCGGGGAAGGAGAAGCACACAGTTCTAGGGACTGAGACCCACCTCTCCTCGAGACCCCGGCGCCCTCCAGAATATGTCACAGCCAGCAGGGGTCTGGGAGGAGCGCGGGCGGCGTCAGCGTCACCAGCCCAGGCACCTGGCGCTGGCGCGGCTGCACGGCCCCAACTCCCGGCCTGTACGCATCAGGGGCAGCAACCGGGGCCGCAGCAGCTGGCGGCAGGGAAGGAGGCTCCCATGAGGGAGGGGCAGCACCGCAGCTGCTCCAGGCAGGTTCCCCCAGCATCCTCCCAGGCCCCACCCAGCACAGGTTAACGGCCCCGCCCCGCGCCCCCTACCGTCCCGGGCCTGCAGTTCCCAAATGTCTCCCGCTACGGACCCTTGCCGCATCCATGACAGCGTCCCCATCGCAGGTTCGCGGCTCTGGCGCGCCCTCACGCCCCCAGCCTTTGCCTCCCTGTACATGGGCTTTCCGTCCCATTGTTCTGCAATGTTTATGGGGTGCCAGCTATAAATCGGTGCTTCCTTGGCCATGGAGGAGGAAGCTGAGGAGAAGGCAAAAGGCAGCACCCACCTAACCTGTAAAGGTTACAGATTGTAATGTGTAATGTCTATGGAGAACATGTGTGGGGTTAGGCAGAGTGTAACAGCAGGCAGGGAGCCAGGAGTGGGGCTGGGTGGGGATGGGAGGAGAGTGGCACGAAAGGTGGGAGCAACGGGCAGAAAAGCCAGGAGGAGGAGGCGCGCATGGGGAAGAGAACGGAGGCTGGGATCAGTACGGCGTCGAGAACCCATAAACACTTGCGGAATCGTCCCTGTGTCTCTGCAGAGTTCTTTTTGATGCGCCTATCTCAGATAGATATGAGATCAAGGGGCAGTGTCTCTTTTCCAGGTGCAGACGGTGAGCACAGGGGGTGATGGCTGCCTTGACCAAGGCACCACACCAGCCAGACACTGGAAGCCAGAGGGTCAATTCAAGCCAAAGACTGCACGCACATAAAAATGAAAACCAACCACAGAAAGAGAAGGCGTCAGAGAAAAGAGTTTGTACCCAGCTGGGGTGAAAAAAGCCCTACAGAGAGGAGGAAGTGGGTATGAACTTGCAGTGTTTGCAGGACAGGCACCCTCTCAAAAGATTAGTCCCTTACAGTTTCACAGCCACTGGGAGGCCACCTGCATGCCCCAAGCCCACTCAGGTCACGGAGCCCACAGCCTTTGAGACTGTCAGTCCCGAGGCTAGCTGTGTATGGATCCCCCCATTGTTCTTTAGTTCACAAAACGAGTGAGAGAACAGAAGCACTGCAGTTCCTTCTAAAATGATTTCCGTGACCCTGTAGAGAACCAGCCCTTGCTGTGGGCCACTGGCCTCCATGTGACCCCAAAGGCAGAGATTTGGCTTTCCAGGGACAAAACTGAGTTCTAGGATGGGTGGTGGGGCCATAAGCAAGCAGTCTTCCTGGAAGTTGGGACAGGGGATAGGTACTGGCTGTTCAGAGTGAGCTGGGGTGGCAGATTGTATTTTCTCAAAATGGTCACATTGGTATTTCTTTAAAAAATTTTTTTTGATGTTTTTAGTTATTTTTGAGAGAGAGAGAGAGGAACAAGAGCATGGCATGAGAGGGCTGAGAAGAGAGGAGACACAAGAATTGAAGAAGCAGGCTCCAGGCTCCGAGATGTCAGCGACCCGGCGTGGGGCTGGGAACTCAAGGAACCCTTGAAAGCGAGAGATCATGACCTGAGCTGAAGTCAGATGCTCAACTGACTGAGCCACTCAGGCACCCCCAGATTGGTATTTCTGATTCCATTTCCAGAACCTTTCCACTCCCCTCAAGACACTCCCTCACCTATACTTTTCCTGCTTGAACCTGGGCAAGCCTTGTGACTGCTCTGGCCAATAGAGTGTGGCAGAAATGATGCCATGTGACTTCTAAAGTTGGGTCATAAGGGAGATTCACCTGTCCCTCAGAAGACCCCCTGGAACCTGGCCACCTTATGTGAGGAATTCCAGGCCACTCAAGACGCCAATGTGTGTGTTCTGGCCGGCAATAGCCAGTAGACCGGACTTAAGTCCTCAGGCCATGGGGCAGACATGAGACCCGCTTTGAGCCACCCCTCTGGGGGTGTTCTGTGGAGCTGAGGTGAGCTGCCCCCCACTGAGTCTTGGCTGAGTTGTAGACTCATGAGCAAAACCGATATTGTTACTGTATCAAGCCATTACTTTTGGGGATAACCTGTTATGTAGCCACAGTAACTGTAATGGCAATTGTTTAATAATTTTCCCTATTTGAGAGATGGATAGGTGGGTACAGAGGGGGTCTTGTCTAAGGCATTCCAGCTGGTGACCAGCAGGTGATCTGATTCCAGAGCCAGTGTTTATTTATTTTGAACTTTTCATTAAGAACATTTTTAAACAAAAGGAGAGAGAATAGCACAATTAACCTGCTTGTACCCAACACCCAGACTCAGCAGTTACTAACTCATGGCTGATCATGTTTCCTCTCTACTATCAATTACCTCCCTTCATTGCTGGATTTTTTTGAAGCAAATCCTACACATTATATAATTTCATTTGTAAATACTTCACTATTTATCTCTAAATGAGAGTCCAGTCTTCTCAAGTCCTCTGTTATCTTTTTTTTTTAAAGCTTATTTATGTAATTTGAAAGAGAGAGAGAGGGAGAGAGAGGGAGGGAGAGGGAGGGAGGGAGACAGAGAGAGAACAAGCAGGGGAGGGGCAGAGAAAGAGGGAGAGAGAGAATTCCAAGCAGGCTCCTTGTTGTCAGTACGGAGCTCGACACGGGGCTCGATCCCACGAACCATGAGATCATGACCTGAGCTGAAATCAA